TGTCACTTGTCATCTGACAGGAAGTGCTGTGGCTCAGCTGACCTGGGTGTCGCCCTGTGAACCCTGCAGCAGCAAAGCATGATTTCGAACCACAGGAACATTTCTCACATAACTTTTAATTACAATATACACATCTATGATCGGTCAAAGAGAAAAGGCCATGAGTTTCTGCTGAAACCAGATCTGGATGGTACATGTCAGAACATCAGTAGGAACTTGCTCAGGTAGACGACGGCTGCTCTTTGCACTGGGATGTTTTCTTAACACTGTTAACGTTACGTCCAGTGCTCAGTCCATACAGAGTGGTTTACTTGTACAATCTGTCATTGTACTTATGTGAACATGTGATTTAGATTCTGGTGGTTAAACTTACAGGGCTAAATGTTGTGAGGAGTCTTGTGAGGTTTCCAGAGAGGCAGGACTGAGGACACCTCTGATTACAGTGTGGAAGAAGTATCCATCCATCCATCTTCATCACCTTATCTGGATCTGGGTCAGTAGTCCGAGCAGAGCCTCCCAGACTTCCCTCTCCCCACACACCTCTTCTAGCTCCTCCGGAGGAACCCCAAGGCATTCCCAGGACAGCTGGGACACATAATCTCTCCAACGTGTCCTGGGTCTGCCCCGAGGCCTTCTCTCCAAGGGACATGCCCGGCATACCTCCCCAGGGAGGTGTCCAGGGGGGCATCCTAAACAGGTGCTCGAGGCACCTCAACTGGTGCCGCTCAACGTGGAGGAGTAGCGGATCTACTCTGAGCTCCTCACAGGTGACTGAGCTCCACGCCCTATCCCTAAGTGTGCGCCCAGCCACTCTCCGGAGGAAACTCATTTCTGCCGCTTGTATCTGCGATCTCATCCTTTCGGTCATGATCCAAAGTTTATGGCTATAAGTGAGGGTAGGAACGTAGATCGACCGGTAAATTGAGAGCTTTGCCTTACGACTCAGCTCCTTCTTCACCACAACAGACCGATACAGAGGCTGCATTACTGCGGATGCCGCACCGATCTGTCTGTCAACCTGCCTCCATTTTTCCCTCACTCGTGAACAAGACCCTGAAATACTTAAACTCCTCCACTTGAGAGAGCAACTCGCCCCCAACCCGGAGAGAGCAGTCCACCTTTTTCTGACTGAGAACCACGGCCTCGGATTTGGAGGTGCTAATTCTCATCCTCACTGCTTCACACTCCGGTGCAAACCCTTCCATTGCACGCTATAGGTCTTGAACTGATGAAGCCAACAGAACCACATCATCCACAAAGAGCAGAAACAAGATTCTGTGGCCACCAAAACAGACACCCTCTGTTCCCTGGCTGCACCTAATTTTGTCTATAAAAATAATGAACAGAATTGGTGACAAAGGGCAGCCTTGGCAGAGTCCAACATGCACCGGAAACAGGTCTCACTGTTCATCCAGGGGCTTGAAGTGGAGAGGGTGAGCAGCTTCAAATACCTGGGTGTCCACATCAGTGAGGACCTCACTTGGACACTTAACACCACACAGCTGGTCAAGAAGGCCCAACGACGGCTGCAGCACTACTGCTATGGACCGCAAGCGCCTGCAGAGAGTGGTAAAGACTGTGGAGAAGATCACCAGGACTCCACTGCCCTCTCTGCAGAGCATTTACCACCACAGGGTGCGTAGGAAAGCTGCCTCCATCCTCAAAGATCCCACCCACCCCAAGCATGGACTGTTCACGTCCCTACCCTCTGGCTGGAGGTTCAGAAGTGTGAAATGCAGGACCTCTAAACTGAAAAACTCTTTCTTTCCCTCTGCCATCAGACTCCTAAACAGCTGAGGAGTTTATTACCAGGAAATATGTGATGTACTGTTTATATTCTCAGTTTGCACATGCATAATTGCACATTGACTGTTGACTGCTGCACATGCTGCTCCCATGCAACATACATTTATTATATTCTTTTATTATATTGCTGCATTTGCTGCTTAAAGTGCCTTAAACTTTGTGTTACTTATTTACCTACTTTATATTTTATTTGTATTTTGTGGCATTCATGTGGACGGCAAAGTAAGAATTTTATTGTACAGGGAAACACGTTTCCTAACTGTGCATATGACAAATAAACACTTTGACTTGACTTACAGCCGGCAATACGAACCAAGCTCCTACTCTGGTCATACAGGGAATGGACAGCCCATAACAATGAGCCCCGAACCCCATAATCCCAAAGTACCTCCCACAGGATGCCATGAGGAACACAGCCTTCTCCAGATTCACAAAACACATGTAGACTGGTTGGGCAAATTCCCATGAACCTTCCATTACCCTAGTGAGGGTATAGAGCTGGTCCAGTGTTCCACGGCCGGGGCGAAAACTGCACAGTTCCTCTTCAATCCGAGCTTTGACTATCGGTCGGATTCTCCTCTCCAGTACCCTGACATAGACTTTCCCAGAGAGGCTAAGGGGTGTGATTCCCCTATAGTTGGAACACACTCTCTGGTCCCCCTTCTTGAAAAGAGGGACCACCACCCGGTCTGCCAAACCAGAGGCACCATCCCCGAACTCCACGCAATGCTGCAGAGGCGTGTCAGCCAAGACAGCCCCACAACATCCAGAGACTTGAGAAACTCAGGGAGGATTTCATCCACCCCCGGAGCCTTGCCCCCAAGGAGTTCCTTAACTACCTCAGCAACCCCGGAAGTTATCAGGTACATGTAGTGGAGTAAAAAGTAGACGGTTTGTCTCTGGCATGTGGTGAAGCCACAGGATGAAGCAGCAGGTACAGTACAAATACCTCAAAATTGTACTTAAGTACAGTACTTCAGTAAAAGTAATTAGTTACTTTCCAGCAGTGGCTGATTCCAGGTAGCCACCTGGTTTCACCTGTTGCTGGTCAGTTGATTGACACTCAGAAGAACCGGAGGTGAAACTGTCGGATGCTGCTCAGCTGCAACATCTGGGCTGATGTAACAGTTTGAGAACAAAAAGAAACTTCTCACCGATCTGGATGGGTAGGTGAATTTTCTTTGTCTTTGTTTTAGCACAAAGCAGTTTTTCTTTAGTCCTGTTTTGGTGCTGCTGCAGTGGACCCACTGTTCAGACCCTCACTCCTCCACACTGTTGTCTTAGTGAGTTTCCCATCGCTGACTGGACTGAAGGGAATAAGAATCCACACAGATGTTTGTAGGAACACCACATAGCCCTGTGCTCTTGGGTGGGTGTGGGAGCTGCATGTCCAAGTAAAACAACACGGAAACAGAGTCACGGGACTCCTCCAGCCAGGTGCACCTACTCTGGGTAGATTCATGACTAAAACTATGTGTACGCATGAAGAGAAAAGTGAGTGTATGCATTCTTTTTGTCAGATTTATAAAGCTACAATGCACCTGGTTCTGTTTTATAAGTGTACAAGCTTTGGTCCACTCCCACTTTTAGTCACAAAATAGATATAAACACACCCTTAATCAATCATTTACATAAAAAGAATGGGGTCTGAACCACATGTTATCAATGAATGCATTGTGGAAAAGAATCCCAACAGTACTGTACACTAAATGCCCTGCAGGCAGACACACAGAGCCAAAACCAGAGCTACACGAGGGGGAGTCCCAAGTGGCCAAAGACCTGTTGCTCCAGGTTTAAGGAACAACTGTTGCAAACCTTTGTACGTGTCCTAAATGCATTTACATGCAATTTATGTGGAGTGCATCCAGTCAAAACTGTTCAGTGTTCACATCTTTGTTGCTGTTGAAGCCAGTTTCACCTGTGCAGAGCAAACTCACTGTCTCTTAAAGTCCTGTTGACTTTAAGGAGGAGACACCTCAGCGGTGTTTTATTTTGATGCTCATGCCGCGTGGTGCAGCCAGACAGTTTGCACACTGGGGTCACCTAAGGTCCCAACTGTCTGCTTTTCCCTGCTGTGTTCAGGTTGTGTCCACTTCAAATTAAAGAAACCCAAAGCTAGTGTTGTACCTCCACCTAGTGGCCAGAAACCGTTAAGACCAAAGGCTTTGCTCAAAGCCGGATGCACATCAAAGTGCAAAGATAGTGTCAGCGTCAGGTCTCCTCTGTCGGAGGGAGGAAAGCTCCTCCTTCCAAACCAATGTTCTGGTCACCTTTGGCTCTGGAGAGTCACAGTGGGACTTTTCCCTCGTGTCTGACATTCTGGGGATAAACAGATCAATCAGGTCATCAGGACGATGATCAGCTGATTGATCAGTGACCCTGCTGGTTGGGTCTCTGCTCAGTTGGTCAGGAGGTTCCTTTACTTTGTCACCATCTGTGTGTGTTGTATCTTTAATGACACAATAAAGGGCACAGTTCAGTGTCTGAAATTGAAATCACATTTATTGTTTGTTCTGGAGTTCGTTCACTTAAAACTTAACCCTTTGTGTACAGTACAGTTCTTTCCTCAACTGCATCTTTTTCTTCTTAAATCCTCACTGTCACCCCACTGTCCTTTTACACACTCAGACACAATCTCTCTCTCTCTCGCATGCACACACACACACACACACACACACAGTACAGCCAGTTACACCAGCTGAGGCGTGTTCAGGTAATCTCAAAAGGGAACACCTCACACAGAAACACAGCCACAGCACCGGCAGAGTGAGGCTCACATGTCATCACAGGGCACCGTGCTCCCCTTTAACAATGGTTTATTATTATTAGCGTCCTTTGATACCAGGACGTGACATTAAAATGTCTTCCTCATGTTCAGTCACTCACCGGCTCCCGACCAACACCACCATTCTCACCAGCACCAGAGATTCAGCTTGGAGAGACTAAGATAAAAATAAAAAATACTCTAAGATTCACCTTGCAGGACTGCAAATACAGAAATGCACAGAGCAATAAAAAATACAGAGCATCAGAGCTGAAGTCAAATCACAATAGAGGAAATAAGATCACTTGTTTTTTAACTACCTTGCTAATAGAACTGCTGATGGCTCTACTAGCATCAACAGTGTTAAGTACATGTAGTTATATAGTGTGTATCTATGCTCCATAAAAGGGGTGGGGTATCGTTTGGGTCAAACAGTCATAGTTCAAACACTGGGACAAACGTTAAAAGGTCGTCAGCCTACGTGGACCCTTTAGTTATTGCTTCAGCTCTAGGTTGATATGGACACGCTCTGAAGCAACGCGGAAGGAACCAGAGCGAGACCTCGGCCTCACAGTCTCTGGGTTTGGACCGGGGGCTGACGGCCCGGCCTGCAAATCAAGTCTGCAATCATCCAACCCTACAGTAACAACACGAGTCCCATGATGCCACCCCAGGAGCCCGAGTCTTTCAAACTGGAGGGGCTGGACGGTGCACATGGTGGATGCAGATCGCTGCTGGTTCGGTCCACTGTTCAGCGTGGAGCCTCTGTGCTCCAGCATCAGGTCCGATGTAAACAGCTTCTACAGAGGCAAGGCGAGGAAGTAAACAGACGCTTTGGCACATCCCAACACGACGACGGATGTCCTGACCAGACTATGCACAGACAGGCTCCCACACTGTTCACTCTGAGCCAACGAGGAGCAGTTTGACTTCTTCCACTTTAAAATGGGAAACAAATGCACAACTGCTCTATATGTGCAGAAACTAACACACACACAAACTGTGCACCATGTCAAAGTGCACCGCTGACCTATTTTTGAAACATTCCATGACCTAGCTTACCACATTCAGATGCATGAAAATAAATAAATAAGAATTTGGTTACATCGAGAAAGGCAGGAAGAAAATGGCAACACTGAACGGAAACGAAAGGTGGAACTTTTCTAAGGCCCCACTTCAACACAACACCAGCCTGGGGATTAGTGACATCAGCAAGGGGCCGACGTTTGTGTATGAATGTGCACAGAACGTAGCAGCAGGTGCTGTAAGCTACGTTCCAGCAGATGTGTATTTTGGGAAAGTGTTGCATTATAAAGTTAACGGGGGGGGTCTTCCCTTTTTGGGTGTGCTCCCACTTCTTGCTTCTCTAACCAGGTGGAGTTTGTTTTCCTCACCTTCCACACATTCACAGTAACTTCACTAAGTTTTCAGCCACTCTCTGCACATTTTTTGTGTTGTTGATTTACGTTAAATGGGTCCAACTGCCACTTTGGCCCATGGGTCTACACTCGGTAACCTGTAACAATGCTGCAGCAGCTTCAGGGCCAGTCACTGAGGACTCCAGCCAGTCCAACACCTCCCCTCCCCCTCTGTTTTATTCTTATATGCCACCGCTACGCGTCACTAACTGTCGTGTGTCCTCTCTCTCTCTCTCTCTCTCTCTCTCTACCTTTCTGTGGGTAGCCCTGGCTCTGGAACATCTGTCGAGAGATGTGACGATGGTGTGACTGAGATCTGCCAGGAGGAATGGGATCAGGCTGGAAGCTGCTGCCAGAGGGGCTTCTACAAGTACCTGTGTTTGTTTGAGAGATGTGTGATTTTTAATAGCTTTACAAAGTGTGTCAACATTTTTTCACGTTGATATTATGGGTTGCTAAGTGTAGACCGATGGGTCAAATGAAATCCACACCTGCACAGAGCGAACTGGTGTGAATGCTTCATGAAGCTGCTGTCAGTGCATGCTTCAGTAAGTGCTGAGTGACACTGTCAGTGTTCAAAGTGCTTTTTCGTTAACACTAAGTGTTACCACAAGTTTAAAGTCTCGGTGAGACTGTCGTGATTAGAAATGTCACTTTGTCTCCGTGAGGACCTCTATGTGCGAGGCTGAGGCCAGCACTGCCAGTGTGCAGACAGAAAAGGCCAAAGTCTCACAGGGTGGACTGGGGGTAATAGACTGATAGGGGGTGTCAGTAAAATCACCCAGTGACTGGGGGGAGACGTAGAGACTGGGGGGAGACGTAGAGCAACATTCCATGTCAACACCTGCACATTCAGTATAAACAAGGTGAACACAAAACATGGGCCCACCTCTCCTCAGAACCTCGGACTGTTCCCACTAACACCAGAGAGCTTCGTTCCCACGGTAACGGAACTTAAAGTCTAGAACGCTGCTTCAAAGCTGCCTGGGCTTCAGAGAGAAACCCTTCTCTTCAACAACAAGGAAAGAAACAGATGGAAAAACATAAGGCAGGTGAAAACTGAAGGGGTGAACTGCTCGTGGGTGGTGAACAGGAGCTCACACCGTCTGGCTAGTGAGGGGAACAGGAGTCGGAGTCGAGGGGGGCTGCTGCTCTGAGACCTTTACTATCTCTGTGGCAGTGACGGTGGGAGCGCGCTCGGCCAGAGGAGTGGGGGAGCGGCTGCTAGGAGCTGTGGCGCTGAGGCCAGGTGTGGCAGAGGTGGTACTGGAGGTAGAGGCTGGAGCAGAGGCCTGGACCGGGGCTGGATTGCCAGTCGAGGCAGGGGGGTCAGCGGAGACCGCTCTGGGAGCAGCAGGCTTGTTGTAGTTCATCTTGAGGATGTGCTGCTGGAGGTGTCTGATCCAGTCCTCCTGCACCGACAGCGGACCATGGAACTCCACCTCACAGAACCTGGCGCAGACAGAAGAACACATTGTCTGGTAACCCCAGTGACAGTGGGACAGGACATGGTGTCTCTCAGCTACACCCCCCCTCCATGACCCTCTGCTGCCTACAGCCCCCTGTTGTTATTCCAGTTTTCCAGTTTCTCCACCCTGTGTTGTCAAAGTAAATTAGCCCCGCCCACCACCTTGTGACAACACCTGCATTACTACTGTCAGTCTGACTCCAGTTTAGCCTCACTGTGAACAAAAGCCAGAGACCCTTGAGCAGCTCAGTCGTAGTGTAGAAGGAGCAAATCACCGTTTTCCAGCTCAGACGCTGTTAAATTCGTTGCCTCCCTCAGGAGCAGTCAATTCTCTCAAAGCTTTCCTACTGCAGCTCTAATGCTCATTCATGTTGCCTAAAATCCCAAACGGTTCACTATTCTCAACACAGTGCATTAGCAACTAAAAGTGGAGTACTGCTCGGCAGGCAGTGGGGGTGGCCACGGCTGCTTAGGGATTAAGGGACTATTTAAAACTCAGCCACAGAGCTTTTGTAATAGCTGCTGTCTCATCAGGTCCCTGAACACAGTCTCTTGGGCCCTGCAATGCTTTCACTCACCGGCACTTCAGGGTGTAGAACTTGCCCACCAGTTTGACCAGTGGGTACGAGGGGGGTTTGGGCACCAAGGCAGGGACGGTGCCTGTGCGTGGGGGCTTAGGAGGACCGCTGTCCCTCTCTGGTCCATCTGGACAGGACGGGTGCTTCAAGGGCCGACGCTCGAAACCTTAGCGAGAGGAGGAGGCAACAAACAGGGTTGGTGCAAAGTGGGTCTGCACAGAAATGTATCACTGTACGTGTCCAGTGCTGCTGCAGAGGTCATTCAGTCAGCGGAAGCCGAGAAGGCGGTTCTTGCTTTCTGACCCAGCAGATGTATTTTAACTTAATTGTGTGCTTGAACAAAAGGTTCTTCAGTACATCTCATGTCAAAATGTGGCCCTTTCTCTAACTTTCAAAGAAAATGAGAAGACAATTCAGTGTCAAAGCATAAACGATAACTCGGTGTCACTGAAAACAAAGGCTTGCATGGTGCTGTGGCTCTGAACATTTCCCTAGATGAAACCCTCACTGTCAGGGTTTCTTTTTCTCCTTTAGCATAACGGACTCCTGCAACTGAAGTATCCCACTGACTGTGTTACTGCCATGCCAGCAGCACAAAGGTCTGTCAGTGCTCACAGTGACAAGGCTACCATGCTAACGTTTAGCAGGTTTAAAACTTACTATGTTCACTATCACGGATAGAACCTCACAAACCGAGTGAGGCGTCTACGATAAGCACCAAGCATGTGCAGCCGAGGCTGACCGGAGCGTCACTAGCTCTGAAAATGTGACCTGACAATGGGGCTCGCTGAAACTTAGAGGATCTCCAAAGTTCCCGCAATTCATCCTGAAGGGAACAAGAGTGTAGAAGCCAGGCTTCACACTGATCCACTCCACCAAACTCATGGTGGCGCTATACAAAGATTTACCTGCTGGGGACCTTTAATGTGTGTACAAAATCCAGACTGGGCCAAACTGATGGATGCTAGGCTAAAAGCAGTCGGCCCCCCTCATCGGTTAAAGGTTTTCAGTCAAACAACTGAAATGTTCTTCTCAGAAGCCGACAACTAACAAAGCCATAAGCGGAAAAGTGTGGGTTTATGACCGAGTGCTGTGCCCCCACATACCTCTGGGCAGGCGGACATTGAGTTCACTGCGAGCCACCTGTGCTTGAAGCGGGAGGTCGCTGGCGAGCCGCGAGACGCCAGGACTGCTGCGGCCGGGCCTGATGGGGGTGGACTGCGGGTTGGTGCCGGCTTCACTCTCCGCAGCCTTGGAAGAGCCCTGGCTGACCTCACGGCTCAGTGGTCGCACCAGGCTTAAAGCCAGAGAAGAAGACCACTGGGAGGAGGAGGAGGAAGAAGAAGAAGAAGCCTTCTGTGGTGAGACAGGGAGGACATCATCAGAATCTTCAGAGGCCCTCAGAGGTGAACTGCTCTTCTGAAAGATGGAAACACATGAGCAGTCTTATTAGCTTGAAACTAACACATCCCTGTGGAATTATGGCGACACTACATTAAGCACAAGTAGTTCTAGCAGCGTGTGCAACAGCAGAACGTCTTCATTAATACTGAGAACGTGTGTGTGCTGTGACCATGAAGCAGCTGGTTAGCTTAGCACAGAGAAGCAGGGGCAGCCGGCATAGCACTGTCCAAAAGTAAGAAAATCAGCTAGTTAACACGCTACGCTTTGTTTAATCCAGACAAAAACTGAAGCGTCAATATGACGTGGCCTTTGGAGGTGACGAGTGCGGGGCTGCTCGTTGGCCAGGTGAAGTGACCTATGTGCTAATCTAAGCTAGCAGGCTGCTAGTGTCACCCAGGTGATTAAAAACTCTTTTTGGAATGTTTAATTTGGCTTTCTAATGACCTATTATAGAGTCTAAATGTTAATGTTGAGTTTAAGGTATTCTGGAAACGCGTTGCATGAGAAATGCTGACTCTGCTAATTATGAAACAAGACCCTGTAATTATGAGATCCTGATTTCATAATGACTGCATCATAACAGGCAGTTCATTCCGAAGGCCTTGAAATGCTCCAGAACTTGACTGAGAATGACCAGGTTTTAAGATTTCTCCAGTATTTTATTAATTCAGTGAGTTTAAATTTCTGACCCGACTAAACAATAATAGCCTAGAAATGAAAAACTGATCATGCCAGCCATTACTTGGCCCGTGGATGCAGACGTAACAGTCAGTACATGCAGCTTAGCTGGGCTCATTTCTCCAGTGTGAATACAAACCTTTACAATATGATTACAAGGACATTTAAAAGGTAATCTGTTCTGTATGTGTCGCAGCACAGCTCGGGGAAAAGGCGCAACAGTGACGCAAATGTACCAGAAACTAATTCAGGAGGGGGAAAAAAAAGAAGAAGAAACCCATACATTTTCTTCTATCAGCAGCACGCCATAATTTATCTGGAGATGAAACATAAGCTGCAGGCACCCTGGTTACTATGGCAACTATCAAGTCAATAGCGGAGTTGTTCTGGCATCTGTCCCCACAGTGATTCTGCTGGGTGTAAAGACACAGGATCTACAGTAAGGCTCAAAGCTGTTAGACAACACATCTGAAGCTTTCCCAGACACAAAATGTCTGTCGCGCCACCAGCCGAGGCGTGTTACACCTCCAGGCGTGACGCCTCTTCAGAGACACCGGGGAAGCAGTGGCTTATGATCTTTTATTGTGCTGCTGCTCAGCTTTGGAGGCCAGCCCGTTCTCATCCTCAGAGCGTCACACACTGATGCTTTGTCAAGAGCCTTTGGCGTTATTGGTGTGCCGACTTCAATATTGACGCAGCAGTCGGACAGTCACAAATCCATGGATGCAGTGTAAGAAAATGGACCTAACGGGCACAAACGGGCCCCCACCCCTTGTACTGTATATAGGACCATCAGTCGTTTTGTGTCTTTATTGTTGTTCTGCCTCTCTTTATGGTAGGCTTGCATCTCCATCTCATTTGGATAGTTCTGTGTCCCTTCATGGTCATTTTTTAAATGATTTCTAGGATTGAAACAGGAAATGTGAACCCTCATTTCATCCAGCGTTTCTAGCCCAGACCCCTTAACCTCTCAAGCCCTTGGGCCTGTGCCCAGTAGGCCTGTCTGAGAATCCATCCGTGCACAAATCAGCTGACTCTCCCACAGCAGAGAGGTGTTTGATTCCACTGTAAAAAGACGTCTTTTTTCCGATGAGCATTTTTACCCAAGTCGGTCTTTTCTTAAACCAAGCCACCTAATTTCAGTGCATAAAACCAACCTGTTTGCCGATGCTTTGCCAAGTATCTTTAGCATCTGTACGAGAAAGCAGCTTGACAAAGCGTCAGTATTTGAAGCCGTGGGGTGAGAAGGTGTTGGCTCAGCTTTGTTGGAGGCTCAGGTTCTTCCACTGGTATTTGCGGAGAAGCAAAACCATTCACCATCCCAACATTAGGCTTTGCTGAAGTGTCCCAGACCAGAGATACCTCTGAGGAAATACCACTGGCCTGAGATATCATCCTACAGTGAGCTGACTGCCTCTCCTCACCTTCTTGAGGGTGGAGCGGTTCCCCTGCATGTAGCTGCGGTGCATCTCCAACACCTTCTGCGGCCTGCTGCGTATCCAAGCGCTGAGCGTCTCGATAGGGGACCCATTTACACACCACTCGGTCACGCCAAACTGCCGCAGGTGGGCTCGCGCGTGGCTGGCCAGAGCCTTGCGGTTCTCAAAGTAGAAGCCACACAGCTCACAGCTGGGATCTGAACAGGACCAGAGAGGGGTTAACTACCAAGACTGGAGAAATGCAGAGTAACAACAGAAAAACAAAAGCCTGGGATTGACTCACCCTGGTGTCTGTGTTTGTCTGGGGACACTTTTCTTTTGAAGGAGAAATCACGTGGCAGAGGTGAGAAATGTTTAAACTGATGTGGTGATGAGTGGGGAGTCTCCACCGGCTGCGCCTCCTCTGACAGGGGCCTCTTCCCGAGTGAGGACATCCTGAAAAACTTCCCTGCTGGTGGGGCAGCAGGGGAGGTCACAGACCCCAGGCCCTGCTTATGGAGCCCGGAGCCTGACTGCAGCAAACTAAGAGGAGATTTACGGAATTTGGACGACTGGTAGCCTGAACCCTCTGTAGTGCTGGCGCCTCCCATGCTCTCCCAGGGGGGGCTGCTGGCTCCCTGGCTCAACTCCTTCTTCACTCCCTGATCTGAGTGCGAGGAGGTGCCCGCCCCTCTCTTGCGCATAACCTCCCTCAGGGTGTCGATAGGGGAGCCGTTGACAGACCACTCGGTGATGCCCATCTGGCGCAGGTGGGAGCGGGCGTGGCTGGAGAGCCCTTTGCGGTTCTCAAAATATTCCCCACAGAACTCACATCGAATGTCCCTCGTAGGCTCCGCTTCATGGCCCGTAGCTGTGGAAGGAAAATTGCTTATTTAGGGTTTGGTACTCGGGGTTGCAAGTTCCCCTGAAGGAGTAGAGTTAGAAGACTGACTCCTGTGTTGCATCTATCTGTGAATACAAAGCTACAGCAGCTGGATAACTTAGCTTAGCATAAGGACCAGCTCAATCCGAGAGTCACACAATCTGCCTGCCTGCACATCTAAAGCTAACTAATATGCTGTTTGTTGTTTTTTTTTAATCAGGATTAATCTGTGTGCTGTTTTATCAGTCTTGGTTGGGACCAGTAACGTCCTGGAGTCTCTGCTGGTCCCATGACAACTGACCAGTTGTGCACAAAGCACCCCATATGGCTAGCTAAGACACGTAGTAGTTGTAGCTACACATTTACCGTACAGATGTAACATTGGTGTCTACTCATTTACGTAACTCTTGGCAAGACAGTAACTAAATAAGTCCTGACACAGAAGGTAGGGTTGATGTTACCCAGGTTGAGGGGGAACGCGCTGTCCGAGCTGCTCCAGCTACAGTTGAGAGGGTCACCAGAGAAGCCCCCAGATCTGCCCACTGCCCCCTGTGTGGTGACTTCCAGCTGCACCGGCTCAGGCTTCAGCTTGAGGATCAGCCCGCTAGAAGACACCGGAGGAGCCGAGCTTGACTTGGACACCGCGGGCTGAGGAGGACTGGAGGGGCGGGTGAAGGTGAAGGGAAGTCGGCTGAGGATTGGAGCTGAAGGAGAGGAGGAGGTTGACAGAGGGGAGCGAGGGGGCCCCGGAGAGGAAGGAGGTGGAGTCTTTAGAGGCTTTAGAGGAAGGGCACAAGGCAGGCCTCGCCGTGTGATGATCTCCCTCAGAGTGTCGATAGGGGAGCCGTTGACAGACCACTCAGTGATGCCCATCTGGCGCAGGTGGGAGCGGGCGTGGCTGGAGAGCCCTTTGCGATTCTCAAAATACTCCCCACAGAACTCACAGCCAATTTCCTTTGGAGGTTCACCTGACAGAGCAGAAGATGTTCAGTGTTGAACAGGAAAACCATTATTCCTCAAACATATATATTATGGCAGACAGGACTCGCTTTATGTCGCAGCGCCCTCCTCATTGGTCCACCTAAGACTGTGGGCAAAACAAATGTGACCCCCACAGGATCTCTCTGACCGGCACTAAACCCACCAGGTCATCTGGTTCAGGCCCGATCACTGTTCCAACAGTTAAAACAAAAGGCAGGGAAGCAGTTTTCTGGGATTCTGTGCCCGATCGTATTAGATGTGCTCCAACATTTGCAGTGTTCCACAGCAGGCTGAGAACTTATACACACTTATACACACACTTGGCTGTCTACAAGTATCTGCATGTGGATGCTCCATACATGTTTTGGTTTTTGAATAAAATGTGCTATATCATTCAACTTTGTTTTGCTTCATGTGAAGGATTCATTTTGTACAACAAACAGTACTTACTGTGTGGAAGGGCCATGAGCTCTCCACTGCTCAGGCGGAAGACCTGCATGGAAGAGGACTTGAGTCGCTTGGCAGGTGGGCCAAGCAAAGACGAGGCAGAGGAAGAGGTAGCTTTGGACGTCGACCCCCCGCCACTCGTGGTCACCTTATAGAGGAGGGACGAGGAGGAGGAAGAAGAGAGGCTCAGCAGAGACTGCTTCGAGGGGGAGACGGTGGTGGCAGTGAGGCCCCGTGGTTCCGTGTGGCTGTCCAGCTGCAGCACACTGGCTTTGTGCTTAAAGTCGTCAGTGTCGATGAGCTGGTTCAGGAGGTCGATGGGAGAGCCCTTGGATTCAGAGTACTCCACCCCAAAGTGGCGCAGATGGGCTCGTGCGTGGCTGGACAGGCCTTTTCGGGTCTCAAACCAGGCACCACACAGCTGACAGACAATGTCCTTGTTGGGGTCCACCTCCAGTGCTGCACATGAAGAAGAAATTACTCTGAGACTCATCACAACAAGGAACAGCAACCAGTTACAACATTATCAGAGACAGACTTCAGTGGGGGACACGGCCACTTACTGAGGTTGAGAGGAGCATCGTTCTCCTGGGGGGCCCACAGAGGTTTGGTTGTCGCGGCTGGGCCAGAGAGGTTAGAGGTCAGACTTTTCATTCCACCGGCCTTGTGTTCCGGGGAGCGCAAGGGGGAAGACACAGGCAGCAGAGAGGAAATGGGGGCTTTCCTCACCACTGAGGAAGGGGAGGCAGAGTGAGGCGGACCTGGAGAGGCACCAGGAGAAGGCGTTGGTGTGGACGAGCAGGAGGGGGCCACTGCTTTTGCTGCTTTGGCCAGGGGGGAGAAAGGGATCGGTTTCTCATCTAAGTCCATGTCTTCCAAATCGTCATCTTTTGGAGGAATAGGAGGGGGGTTGTTCTTGGATGAAAGCGGTTCCAGGAGAGATGGGCTTATTTGGCCGTCTGTGCTGCGCTCCCTGACGACTTGGTAGAGGAGGCTGATGGGTGTCCCGCTGCTCTCTGAGGCGCTGATGCCCAGCTGGCGCAAGTGAGAGCGGGCGTGACTGGACAGTCCCCGCCTGGTCTCGAACTGAACCCCACACACCTCACACTTCAAGCTCTGGACTGAAAAAAGAGGCAAGAACAGCTGGTAAGACACGGGGCCTCATACGAGGTTCATCCTTATAAATGTCCACTTTTCTCTGCGAGCTTTGTCCGTGTGAGTTTTCACAGCCACATTTGTCGGACTGTCCTGCTGTACATGACAAACTCGCCCCGTTTATGAGATCAGCAGCCCTGAAATCACCATATAAGGACTTCCTGTTCTGCTTCATTTGTAGGAAAGATTCATCTAGAGTAAAAAGCAGAGACTGGGCACAGAGCTGCACCAGACTGGTTTCACACTGACAGGTAGAAGCTGCTGAGGCCAAGAAGATACTCTAGTCTAAACCTGGTGCTACAAGTCACATATAAACTATCTAGTTTTCAAAACTCACTGGCAGCATCGTGTTTAAACTCCAGGTTCATCCAGATGAAACCAGTAGAATTCTTACGTCTAACCAGCGAGTTCCCCCGTGAACACGCTCCTGACCTGCTGTGTCACAGGTGCTCTTTTAGCCCCTACATACACTGTTGCTCCCCAGCACACCAACTCTCTGGCGTCTGCCACCCCCCACCACTGTCCTAGGTTCAGTGTTGGTTTCCCCACAGACAGCCGTCCCATGGTTCTGGCTCACCCTTGGCGTCTGCATCCTCCCCGGAAGAGAGGCTGCCTGTGTCCACACTGTACAGCCCTGTTTTCCCTGGGCTCGGGCTCAGATCACCCAGCTGCAGCTCCTCCTCGTCCTCTTCCTCAGCTGCTTCCTCCTCATCACCTGAAACACAACACACCATGTTAATTAGGCCAATTAAGCAGAAGAAACCACGTTAAAATAAGTGATCTGCCATCACTAGATGAGATGTCTTTATACAAGGTCAGCCCTCTAAAGCGGTTACATGCATGTGTGAGTGTCCTGAGAAGAAACAAAAGACGCAGGCTGAGAGCCCTGTCCCCTGTCCTCAGTCCTCCAGTAACAGCGCATTAGTCTGCAACACCTCCTGTAAGGAGCCCTACACAATACAAGTAATGAAACCCTGTCACACAAGTAGGAACTGCATTACTGTGGGGCACAAACAGAGGAGCCGTGCTCCCCGCAGTCTGGCGTTCCTGGGACAAAAGTGCCATTTTCTGCGACAAACGGAGAATCAAAAGAGACGCGGAGACAGACAATGCTCGTGTCTGGTGGGCGGCTCTGCGCTTGTCACTTCATCTCTTGACTGTAAAGGATGTGACACCGACGAGCGCAGCGTTATAACACCAGCTATTATGGCGAACACGACACCGACTCGTCCCGGCTGCGTCTGGAAAGACAAAGTAGGAGCGAAACGAGACTTTGGCTCCGCGCAGGCACAGGAACAGTGCGCGACCCACGCGTCCACTAAAAGTCATACTAACAATATACTTCGCTGCTAAGTTGGAATCAAATGACCGCTCCCACTGCACAAAGTTACCGTGTTTCCTGAGCAATCGGTTTATTGGAAAAACATGCACACACGCACGCACTTGAGAGCACAGCGTGTCCTCTATCAAAAATCAAAGCAAAGTAAAATGGCGAGGATTGGGCAACTGTACGTAAATGTAGAGATCCTGCAGCAGCAGGGAAAAGACTGGACGTCATCCCAGACGTGCACAATAAAAGCCCAGATGTGAAGAAAACTAAGTGTACCAACACAATCACACCACAGAAAAGCAGCACAATTGATCCGTGCGTGCAAAAACGGAGCCCCGGAACAATAACGAGCCGCTCTCTGCGCTCCTGACACGCATGACGCGGACTACCTGCACGGCTGGGATTTTCTTTACATGCTCTCACATGAAGAGTTTTAATGGCTGTTGTCTGGCTACACTGTGACAGAAGATGCGGGCGCGACGCCGCCGTGAGATCCGAGGGCACGCGGTGCACGGGAAACACAGCGCGGTACTCACCGGTCCGTAACCGCAGTGCAACGGACTCCTGGCAGCTGAAGCCAGACAGTTTTTCCGCTATTGTTTGGGTCTGCGGGGAGGTGGAAGCAGCCATTTTGCCCCCATATGCACCGCTAAGCTAAGGCGTGACCAATCGAGTGGAGGCGGAGGTTGGGATGAATGCACCGAGCGCCACATCAAGCGCGGGCACCGGGGGCTCGCCCCCTAACACACACACACACACACACACTCTCTCTCTCTCTCTCTCTCTCTGCTAAGGATGAGTTTCTCCATAACCACCATACCGATTCACACACTTCACACGGATCACAGGTGTCACTCAGGTCAGCCAGGTGCACATTTAAAACACACTTCAACAGCATCTTAGCTCACATTTGTTTTATTGTCTTCATCAATAAAGAGATCTCCATAGCAAGTTCATCCTCCTAACACCATCAGGCACACCAGGCACCAGCCACACCAGGGTCGGAGGTCAAACTTACCTCCACACTCTCCTCCACCATCCTCCTCCTTCCAGTGCTGAGGGGATGCTGAAGGCAGTACATCAGAAACAGCAGCACTCTCCGTCCTGGCATTTGTCTCGCCCTCCAGTTTTACCTCAACCATTCCGTCCCCTTCCTCCTCCTCCTCCTCCTCTTCCACCGCTTCCTCCTCTTCCACCTCATCCTCCTCCTGTGGGGAGCCGGAGCTCCGCGGGGGAGCTGTGGGGATGACGAGGTCGGGCCTGCTGGAGAACAGCTCCCTCAGGATGTGGATTGGCGAGATGGTGACGTCCCAGTTAGTGATGCCGAAGTCGCGGAGGTGGGCCCGGGCGTGGCTGGACAGGCCGGCCCGGGTGTCAAAGCCAGCGCTACAGAACTCACAGTGCATGACGCTGAACGTGTCCGGGTCAAAGTTGGCGACTGCGGAGAGAACAGGCAATACAAGCATTAGTTTAGACCTGCAGAAGTTTTGGCTTGTGGCTCCTTAAATCTAAGGCCAGGGGTCGGTGTGGCATCAACACCAGTGGTGCCTGTGAGCAAGGTCTTTTACCGAAACTGTCCTGGTGCAGCTGCTCAGTGTCCAACAGGTCAGCTCGAGTAGGCGGCCTCGTAAAAAAATCTACCCTGAATGAATCAAGGTTCTTGATTCCACTGTGAATCCTGTGACCTGCACTAAAGAGTGACCTGGCCACGCCGCTGCCTCAGCTGGTCCACCACTGTATCTCAAACACTTTATAGGTGCTTTGGTCCCCAAAAACTGAATCCTACTGGTTTTAGTGACACCCCCCCACTTACCACTAGTGCCACTATGTGTGATTTAGTGAGTTAAACATTTCCACACATATTGGATGAGGGTGGCAAAGTGGTGCAGCGGTTAGCACTGTTGCCTCACAGCAAGAAGCTTCAGGGTTTGAACCTCATGGCTGACCGGGACCTTTCTGTGTGGAGTCTGCATGTTCGCCCTGTGCCTGCGTGGGTTCTCTCCAGGTACTCCTGCTTCCTCCCACAGTCAAAAGACATGCAGCTTAGTCACTTCAGACACAGTCTTGTTTCTCCTATGCATCTGAATACTAAAAGAAGCAGTTCATCCACAAATTAGCCAAGATAAAAACTATGAGCGGAGGAAAGTCTAAAAGGAACCAGCAGAAACAGTTTTCCTAAACCTTTCTCACTTTGTGAATCATCTCATGAACCTTCAGACTTACTCTGTGACCCTTGTGGGTGTCCCCACCCCCAGACTGGAAACCACTGCTGTACATTATAGCGACCACTTCTAGAACTGTTCGCATCAAGTGTTCAAAGCATGTCAGTGAAAACATCTAAATGCTTTAGTTGTAGTGCAGCTGAAAAGGGCATGTACAGCTCAGCTACGCCGTGTTTCTCAGCTTGTCACACAGCCTGAGGACAAAGACACTGAAAAAGCGCTGTCTGATAAAAATGCAACAAACCGCTGACCTTTTTTCTTCTTCTTCTGGTAGGAGAACTTCTTCTCAATCGCGTTGACTTCCTCAGGGGATATAAAGTGACGCACATTGTAGCTGACGCCCACTCGGTTCAGGTGGCCTCTCACATGATTGGCAAGCCCGATTCCATTGTGAAATCGATCAGGGCAGTAGGGGCATTTCCTCTCCACGCTCTTCAGCGCCTCCACATCCTCATCATTCTCATCTTCACCCAATATGCCCTCTGACAGGAAACGTCGCACTTGCTCCTCGTCACTGTTGTCATCATCGTCGTCGTCACTGTCGGTTCCTGCAGGGGTAGCAGTAACCTGGGCGCTCTTCCTAAGGAAGAACACCTTTCCTTTATTCTCCACTTCCTGCTCGTCACCATCCTTCAAACTCCTCACATGGGGGGGCGATAGTGTAGCACTCTGCAGTGCTGGGCAGTCATCTGTGAGGAAAAAATAAGTAGAACTGATTTATCTACCTCAAAGAAAAACAAGTGTTGTGTACAGTGGGTTTATCAAAGGTCTGATTAGCTGAAAACGGCTGCTGGTGTGGAAGAGACGGAACCAAAACGATGAGCTTCACGGTGCTACAGTGTTCTGCAGAGCAGGGGCAGGTGGGAACTGTCCTCAGTCACTGCTTCTTCATTTTACATAGCCATTATTATAACAACAGCGCAGCTTTCATCTTGTTGTTCTCTGTCTCTTGACAGAATTCTGAGTACGCAGAGTGTAAACAGATTTTTGAGAAAGTCAGCATTTCAGTGGCAGGAGTGGGTTTGTACTGACACCGAGTCTCACCTGTGCTGGCTCGGGCTCTGGTGTGTGGTTGCACTGCTCCAGGTGAGCCGGCCTCACTGTCAGGTTCTGTGCTCTCATCTCCATCCTGCTCCTCTTCTCCACTCCCAGGCAGCTTGTCGTCATCCAGTCTGGG